TAAAATATAAACCTGATGACTGCTTTTCACGCTATCTATGTTTGAAAAGCCGAAGCTAGAGATTTGTTCACGAACCCATAGTGTAAAGATTACGCTATGCAACACATCTCATTGGTACGCGTTGTTGTCAATAATAGGGTGGCCCATAATATCAGCATAGCTCATATTCGGACCGTCTCCTCTACTGGACCTAAGCATATTTCGTTGATATTCTTGGTTAAGTATCAGTGGCGGCGATAAGGCCCTCGCAAGTCCCGCGGCACGGGGGCCCCGGCCGAGTGGGGGCCCCACAAGGCCGTATTTAGGGGGCGGGTTTTAGGGCTTAAAACCCTCCCCGAAATTATTTATCACCTAATAAAGTTCAGGAAATTTGACTGCAAAAGTAAAAAAAAATAAACTTGGAACTTAAATGAGACTTGGAATAATGTGCCAATAATTTTTTAATTTTGAAAAAACGACTATTTGGAAAGCAACATTGCGATTAGCAAATTTTACATTAAGTTTTATTTACATTAGCTTTTATATTTTTTGCATTATTTATATATTTGCCTTTGATAGAGTTCCAAAGCACCGACTTCTCAAAAAGATTGAACACCTAGGAATCCGAGGCAACTTAATAGCTTGGGTAACGGATTTCTTAACCTCCAGACAATTTCGCGTAAGAGTTGGTAATAGTTTCTCTCAAACCAAATCCGTTGTCAGTGGAGTGCCTCAAGGATCAGTCCTTGGTCCCTTACTTTTTCTATTATATACTGCCGATATTTCTGTACACATAAAAGCTGTTGCTCCTTCTATGCAGACGATACAAAAATCTACGCTAATCCAATTGCGGACCATCAGTCTCTTTAATCTGATCTAAGTGCGGTATCAAAGTGGAGTTCAGACTGGTTATTACCGCTAAACGTTGATAAATATGTTGTTCTTCATCTCGGAAAAAGAATCCTAAATTAGTGTATAATATGAATAATAATGCCTTAAAGACAGTATCGTCCCAAAATAATCTCGTCGTTATCATTACTAAAGACTTAACGTGGTCAGAGCATATATTATCAGTATGCAAACAATCAAACTCTCAACTATTCTTATTAAAAAAGACTTTTGGCAATGTTTCTCCCTCAACGTTTTTGAAAATATACGCAACATATGTTCGTCCTCGCCTGGAGTACTGTGGTCCTGTTTGGTGTCCCGTATTAATCTCGGATCAAAATAGGCTGGAAAATGTGCAGCGACTTGCAACAAGGCTTCCGTATGGTATAAGAAGGCCACCGTATGTACAGCGTCTGTCTACTGCTAATCTGACTCTTTTAAGTGAGCGTCGACTGCGTGGTGATTTAATCGTTTATTTTGGCGTAATTAGGCACATGTTCGGTGTCGATCTTTCGGATTTATTTGTATTAAATAATGACCTTCGCTTACGTAGGCACATGTTCAAATTAAAAAAGGAAAATTTTAACTCTAGAGTTAGGCAAAATTTTCTTTTAAACCGAGTTTTCTCTGTATGGAACAATTTACCTGATAACGTTGTATTCGCACCTTCAGTTAACTCGTTTAAAAACCAATTTGATTCATTAGGCTAAGTATGTATATATCTGTATAGACACAATAAATTAAAATCACAACAAATTGTAATGTAACTTAACCTAATTTATTGTCTTTATACTTTTATTTTAATTTTTTTTTATCAATTTATAGTTATAGTTTATAAAAAAAAAAAATTGTTTATTTTTAAGTAAAATTTTTTTGAATGTTAAGTATTATATGAAATATTAATACAAAAAAATGTAAACATAGGTGAGTACAAATAAAAACTTTCTATTAAGTAGGGCATTTAGCAAAAACACGTCTTAATAGACATATTATAGCACTTATTTCCACATAATATTTTATCATCGCAAACCCTGTATCTCCTCTTTCTTGGTTGAGTAATTATTTGCCATTCAATTAACAACTAAACATAATTGACCTTATTCAATAAATTGATATTTGCGGTAGATTTTATGTAATTAATTTTTTTATGTAAGCTTTTAATTTTGGAAGTAATTTTTAGTAGCTTAGTAAGGATAGTTAACAGAACCAGTAGATATATATTATGTAATTTTAAATTTATCGAAATAGATGCATATCGATATAGATTATTTAAATATAAATAATTTAAGATAAATTATTATTAAGATTGAAAGGTCGAAGTTTAAAATAACTTAATTAATTCTAGACTTGAACTGAAACCTATTAAAAAAATGTGTAAAAATAGCATCGTTCCATGAAGCAATCTGACTGTATATTATGAGTTTCTGCTCTGTGTCATCATTGAAGTCTTTTTAAAGAATAAAATAATACTTGAGATGTTTAACGATGTTAAACGAAAATTTAATTCTAAAGCAGATGTTTGTTATTCAATAACTCATTATATCTAAATATTTTATAGGAAATACTTGCAAGGAGTCGGTTAAATTAACTTCAAATGACAGCAAACAATAAGACTAACGGGATATTTTTTCAACAAATGAAAGAGATGAATTCGCTGATGCGCGTGAAAAAGGTGTTAAGTCAAATTCGTCATTTTATGGAAAATAGCAATTTAAAGAAATTCAACTTTATTATTAGTTAAAACTATTTTATAGGTCCTTTTACTGACAAAATACATATTCTTAATAAAGCAAGACGCATAAAAAATTATAGAAAAAATATCAAAAAAAGTGACTTTTGATTGACTCATATCCTTTTACCACATACTTTGATTACTATACGGTGCAAGAGAGAGGTCCGACACGCCCAACATAGGGCGCGGCCATTTTGATTTCTATGCCACAATTTATAGCTAAAGAATCAGATCGCTCACTCTGCGTCGGCACTTTTGATCTCAATGTTCCAGTTTATACACTGTGCAACTTGGATAATACAATATATGACAACCGCCTATAATAAAACAGCAGTCTTCTGCGTATCCTGAATTTGTATCCCTGGAGTGGATGTTATTTTGGAACTTTCAACTGGTCCGAATGAGCTAACTGATTCTTTAGCAATAAACTGTGACTCCAAAAATAATATCCACCGACACTGACAGCAGCAAGCAAAATATCAGGTGCGTTTTAATCATCCGCTTCTGCTTCCGGAATTGTCGGTTTAATCATTTTAACCTGTCCGATTAAAACAAGAAAACCGACAAATCCGAAGCAGAAGCGGATGATTAAAACGCACCTATTAAAAATATTACGCCAAGATGTAGGCAACACGTAATAAGGGATCAAAATGGCGGAGTTTTCTATCTCCTTTTAAAAAGCACTCAGAAAGCTGCGCAGTGCGACCATTCTCCGTATAGTATCAGGGAATACATCAACCTGGTCACTTGCTATTTGTAAATTTTTATAAAAATCCCAATTCCCATTAGAAATGTATGGAAGTAGCTTAATAAGGTTTTGTTTTTTTTTTCACTTGTGATTGGAATAGGTTTTTCATAAGCAATTTTTGGAATATGCTCCACCTGGTTTTCAAGCTATTTTTTTCTTCATCAGTGCTGGCCATTTGTTAATTTCATTTGGAGTTTATCGCATGTACATTAGACTGGGCCAAAAAAATAACTATTTTTTTTTTTTGAAAGATATATCGAGAATATCATTCAGAATGATAAAAAAAAATTTCGTGAAATTTTTTTAATATTAATTTTAAGAGGTCTATCATCGCTATTTTTGATTTTTTGTCATAATTTGATGTTTTACGTTAGAACTGTCAAAACATTAAAGTGAAAAAAAATCCTTTTCACTTGTTCTGATATAAAATTAAATTCTCTACGAAAATGGTCTGATTGAAAATTTTCGTCAGACGAGCTGTTTCCAAGTAATTTCGTAACTAATAAATAACTTTTGAAGAATTAAATTTAGGCAAAAATATTAAGAGACCTTTTTTGTAGAACATTAATTTTCCTTTAAGAATCCGACGTGGGCTTTTTTAAATATGCATTGATTCATTAGTTACGAAATTACTCGAAAACGGCTCGTCTGACAAAAATTTTAATAGGGCCTTTTTTGTAGAGAATTTCATTTTACATAAGATTAAGTAAAAAGGATTTTTTTTCACCTTAATGTTTTGACAGTTCTAACGTAAAACATCAAATTATGACTAAAAATCAAAATAGCGATGATAGACCTCTTAAAATTAATATTAAGGGCTCAAATTATTTTTAGGAAATTTTTTTTTCATCATTCTGAATGATATTCTCGATATATCTTTCAAAAAAAAAATTGTTATTTTTTTGGCCCAGTCTAATGTACATGTATCCTTTTTCGGCTGTTTAATGTTTATATTTAGGCTGTGAAAACTCGCTTCGTAAGCTTTCCTATTAATAAAATTTCCGGATATTTTTCTTTGTAGGCTTGGTATAAAGAACTTAATGTATAATGTTGTGGCAAATATTTATTGGTGGCTTGCCTCCTAGTATAGGATGGAATAGATAAAATATGATCTCTGGCAATTTGTTTGTCATTTTCATTAATTTATTCCTGTTCTTATGAGTTCCCCTTTGATACAAACTTATTATGCCCGATATACCGCTCTTTTTTTAACAAAACTTCAATAAACTTATTACTTACATCAAATGTTTTTTAAAACATTCTTTGCATATACGTTGCAAGTTGTTGTTTATTCTGAAATAATAGACTGCAGTACTTGTACGTTGCTTATTGCTATCTGCTTTACGTATGCGAATAATCTTTTTATCTTGTAAAGTAATCAAATCACTTATATACTGAGCCCTTCTGTCATAGCTGCCGATAGCCCAAAAATTGTTGAACAAAACCAATCTTACGTCGTTATTAAATTTTTCAACATAGCTGTTTTTGCATTTTTTCAATTCCTTTAGACTCTTTTTTCGAACTGTCTTATTCTTTTTAGTACAATACTCCTGTCCTGTATTGCGTTTTACTTTTCTGTCTCTTCGGATTTTTCGAGTTTCTTTGACTTTTTTTGCTACCTGATTTGTATCATCTCTTGTTGGTTCTTCTTCGTCAGCTGCTTGTTCTACTGTTTCGCTTTTTTTGTGATGCTAATTGACTCTCTTGAACATCTTCCAAATCATCATCATCATTAGGAACATAATCAGGATCGATATCATCGTCATCAGAGTCGAAAATTCCTGCAAACTATTCCTGTATTTTTAAAGGTAAAGGAGGCGCAGGACTGGACACTTTTGAACCTAAAAATATTGATATTTTGAAAGTTTTCAAAAATAACAGGTTAAAGCTGAAACTTACGGACTCCTTTGCATATTTCCATCTATGCAAGGTTTTGATGTACTTTGTTCCAAATTGTTACCAGAAGATAAACTTTTGTCACAGCTTTTACTTTCTAAATTATAAAAAATAGAAACATGTTTAACTATTATTTTTTTTAAAATTGACTTATAAAATTCATCTTACCTGCAATCTGCTGCCCGACACTACTATTCGTAACTTCTAATTCTAAATTTCCAGAATCTGGAACATAAAGATTAACATCTTGAACTTTTCTGTGAACAACTTAAACATAACGTATAAACCAAAAAATTATAAAATTAATAAAACAGCAGTCTTCTGCGCATCCTGAATTTGTATCCCTGAAGTGGATGTTATTTTGGAACTTTCAACTGGTCCGAGTGAGCTGACTTCTTTAGCAATAAACTGTGACTCCAAAAATAATATTCTGTGACAGTGACAGCAGCAAGCAAAATATTAAAAATATAGCGCCAAGATGTAGGCATCAAAATGGCGGAGTTTTCTATCTCCTTTTAAAAGTATGTGCATTTCACACACAATATTTTCATAGTGGTAGAACAAACGTACACTACAAGCATGAAAACCTGCCTTCATTAAGCTGTCATTTATAACAATTTTAGCATCAACTGTGGCCTGATTAAAATTTATTTTATATTTTTTAGGAGTCAGTAAGTGAGTTTCGTGAAAATTATATTTACTTTCTTAAATATCTGGTACAAATTACTTGCAACGTCATTATTGGATTATAAAATGACGCTTTTAACACATGTTAAAGTGAAAGTAAAAAATAATCTTTAAATGTAATAACTAGTAATTATATTTGTCTTTATTTGGAAGTATAAATAGATATTTATTAAATAATAACAGGTTAGATTTGACGTACTCTTTTAGATGGCGCTATAAGAAATTTATACTTTTAGCTAGTTGAAATTCAGGTTAAGAAAACTTAATTAGGACAGGACCTTACTAGTTTACTAATACATAAAAATACTACTTTAATTTAAAAATAAATAACCCATTTTTGGTATTTTAGAATATTTATCAAAAATTGTGAGACACAAATTCCGAAAACGTGCAATGTGCAAACTTTCCCAAAGATGAAGAATCTTGAATTTTCCATAATGGCTTAGTTTAAAAATTAAAAAAACATTACCTAAAAATACAAAATCATTTTAAATTTTGAACATGTACATATCGTAGAAAAAATGTTAGATACCAACTACTTATTTTAATAAAAATATGTTAATTTAATTTTGACACTCCCTCCATTTCCACATAGGAGAAAATAATTTCATATAAAAATAGTTGGCCGGAATAAATCAATCGAAACAGAGTCCTTATAGCTAAACTCAAACCAAACATTTTTTTCTATGCTTTATCACTTGCTAGTCCTCGCTTTTTCGTCACTGCTGTAAACATTTGTATCGCAATATTTTATACGTTTTATAAACAAAAACTTTAGAGCTGTTCAAATGTTTAAATATTATTTAAAGATGCTAAAAAGTAAGGTTAATAAAATTTTGTTTACTTCGTAATCTTCATTTTTTATTAGGTTTTCTAATGACTTGTCCAAATGGTTGCATTGCTTAGCAAATGCTTATTGATCAGAATCGGTTAAGAAAAAATATTTTTTAAACCAAATTTCAGCCTTTGAATATAGTAAAAAAAAATCCTTAATTTTTGCCACAAGACATGAGCGTATGTTAAGTATTTTGAAAAGTATATGAATTTATATAACTATATATATTTTTGATTATAATAAGGTTTTTGTGGTATTCCATCGAGTAACCATTTTGTTTGGAATGCTTAATAGGAGTCAAATTTTTTTTATGGTTAACTTCCACTTGTAACCTAATATTTCCCTATACGTCCTTGAAGATCTCAAACTGACTGTCAAGGGTAATATGACCCACAAAATAATTTTAGCACAGAAAAAATATAGAATGAATTAAAATATCTCGAAAAGTTAATTATAAATATATTTAAATCAATAATATTGCATTGTTTATGAAATAAATTGTTATGCGAGACATATTTTACCAGTCTAATCATGCTCTAATCCTTTAAGTAAATCTCTACTTTATTTGGATCTTTTACGGCCTCCATTCTTTTCGTTACTAAGAATATTTGATGAAATAATTCAATCTCCAAAACTCCCAAAAATGCGCCTATGAAAACCGACAGTCTAAATAAATTATCATTCTGAAATACTACTAGACCCTTACTCTAGAAATTGGCAAACACGTCTAAAGCGCCAATTTTTAGCCTAACATTGATGTTACAAGTCAGTTAATAGTTAGATATCGAGTTGTTCAGGTAAATATTGTGAATATAAATTAATGTAGAGCAGTAAGAGATATAAATTAGTGATGTACTTAGTACACATAAATAAATTAGAGTCTTAATGAAAATGCGTCACCCTGTATAGTTATAGATATATTTTTTGTAACTGGAAAGTGCTGTTTCCACTCTGCTACGGCCTCTTTATCTTCAGTAATGATGCGTGCAAATTACTGTTTCATTTTATGGTTATTTCCATGTTGGAATATGCTAACATATTGTGGTCTTTCACTCACTTATCTATAACATTCATGTTAGATCAATTTAGCGAAAAAACTTTTCTTTTCAAAATAACAGATAATGATTGTTTTTTTTTTGTTATTGGTGTTACATTTTTTTAATAGGTATATTTTAAATGTTTAAATTGAATAAATCAAAAAACTATTCAATTGTCTCATATTACAGAAATATTCTCAGGATTTTGAAGATGCTTTAATAATCAGTGAAGAATGTGTCGTAAGGTCAGATGCTGCTGTTAATTTTATCAATATTCTATGAAATTATAATTAGATATAAATTAAAGAAAGTGATTTATTAACTACTTCCTAGACAATAAAATTTGAGTATTCTCAACACCATCACTTATGTTGTTAGACAGGTCAAGTCATTCGGTGTGAAATATTCTTCCTCACGAACTTGGCTGTGCACGAAAAAGATTGGCGTGTCAAAAAATTGTCACGGAGGAATTTTTGCAATTGTCAGTTTCACTTTTGTGTGAAATTACCATAGAAAATGTTATATCGTTACGTACGGTTTCTTACTACTGTCTTCTCTAAATTAACGAAAGTTTTTGTTGACATTTATAGTTAGATGAAGCTATTATTATTGATTTCCTCATGTCGATTAACATACAGCTCGGGGGACTATCTTCCGAGTTACTCAAAGTATTTCCATGCCATCAAATACCAACATAGGCGTCGACTTTTGTTTTTCTCCGGGGGAGCGTACAATGACGCATGGATACGAAATAAAAAAGTTCTTACCTCTCTGAAGTCCATTGCTGTTTGATTCGCTATTCCACGCAGATTGTTTGCCTAAAATTAGTCGATTAATTTATTTTCATATACATATACAAAAGAATCTTCGGGTTTTAAAAAAAATATATTTTAGAAAGTATTTTAGATATAATAAATAGTGAATTACATGTCATCAGAAAGAGAAAATATTTAAGTTTTTAAAGTTATAATTACAAATGTTCGATGCGTGCTCCTCGGGTCACACGAGTACGTTAAAACAATAGTCTAGTTCGGTTAATAAACGCTGTATTTGTCCTCGGCTGCTGTCAATTGCAGTAGCAATGCGTTCTTAAAATAAATCCAGTGTTATTGGAAATAGTGGTAAACCATATCGTTAATATACTAGCAAAAAATCACACGGCTCAAAATCGGGAGACCTGGGAGGCAATTCGAAAAATACCAAATCTTTGTTCTGCATATTCACTACTATTTTGCATTCTGAGGTTGTGGCGCTGTCTAGACGTGTAAAATGACGGTCACAGGAAAGCATTTTAAACTTCTCATTTTATATTATACCAGGGGCGTGCGGTCCATGGAAGCGGGGGAAGCACCGCTTCCCTACACTTTGAGATTTAAAAACAAATATTTTATAGTTTACAATGCATAAAAATTAATATTAAATGACTACTATAGTACTTAGTACTATATTTTCTCTATAACATTACGTAAACTTCGTAAATGTACTAACAATTCATTGGTGTAATGTGTAAACGCACGCACCACCCATGAGAAAATTAATTGTGTAAACGCATACACCATATTATACTTCGAGTTCGTCGGCGGAAGCGCCTCTTAAAATAGCCGGTTCATCTTCCAATTGATTTCGCTTCGTGTTATTGACCCTACTTTGCCGCGATAGTAGTCAGTCTGTTTGGACACGTGAAATACGGTCAAGAGACAGCGATTGTTACGTCGCCTTACGCATATTGCAATTCGCACCGCGAATTAACGTGAGAGGAAAATCGTAAACTTCAGGTCGATTTCGGTTTGTTTTTCGTAGTTTTTTTTTTGTAAAATGGAGGAACTATGCACTGTGCCTGTGAACAATAATAATGTGGTAAATTGTATCTGTATTGTGCGCTCTTTATTAAAAAAAGGATTTTCAAATAGAAATTTTGAAGAGAAAACGGACACTATTAATTCTAGTAGACTAAGGGATCCTATCAATTTAGAGACGAAAGTAGAAAACTCAGCAAAGAAATTTACCAGGCATTTTCACGTAGGATTCTATGAAAAGTATAAATGGTTAACCGGCTGCAAAACTTTGAAAAAATTGTTTTGCTGGCCTTGCCTACTTTTTAATATAGCCGAAAAAATACATTGGAACTCAGTCGGTATTACAGACTTGAATAATGTTCACAAAAGTGTAAAACGACATGTACATAGCAAATCACATATAAGTGCTACAATTAAAGAAAAAACATTCGGGACCTATCGCATTGAACATAGTTTGGACAATCATTTAAAAATAAGCAACACCCTTTCATTGTGAATGGTACCTCAAACAGAATCCAAAATGATTTAATTAAATGCACTGCCGACGTTGTGATGGATCACATTAAAAGTGAAATTAAAAAAGCACCTTTCATATCAGTTGTGCTTGATAAAACCACAAATGTAGCAAACTTAAGTCAATTATCCATTGTTGTGCGATATTTATTGGATGGCATTCCTCAAGACGAACTGCAGATGCAGTGTTTAAAATTGTTTGTGACAATATTCCAAGTTTAGAATGTGGTTCTAAGCTTGTGGCCCAGAGCTAGGATGGTGCTGCGTAATGGCTGGCCATTTAGGAGGCCTTCAAGCTAAAGTGAAAGAGAATTTTAAACATGCAATTTTCATTCACTGTATAGCACATAGACAATTTGGTTTTATCGCGAAGCATGGATAATATTAAAGGCTGCAAAGTTTTCTTTTCGACTCTTAGTGTTTTGGCTTCCTTCTTTTCAGTCATCGAAAAGAACTCTCGCTTTGGACATTAACGTTCAAAAAAGGTTTTCAAAAGTTGCTCCGACGCGATGGAACTACAATGGACGTTTAATGCAAATAGTGTTTCAATAATATGGCATTAATTAGAGGAATAGCCCTTGAATTATTAGAAAACTACTTGTCGGACAGAACCCAAAGAGTAAAAATTGGAAACTCATTTAGTACTGACAAGAAAGTAGAAACAGGTGTTCCTCAAGGAATAGTGTTAGGGCCGATTTTATTCGTAATATATATGAATAGTATCACGCAAATTTCAAACTTCAAAGGACAACTAGTGTGCTATGCCGATGATACAGCTATAATATTTTCTGGGGAAAATTGGGAAAATGTAACACAAACTGCAGAAAGAGAACTAAATAGGTTACATATATGGCTCAACCATAATTTATTAACTCTAAATATTAAAAAAACTAAATATATTACTTTTTCACCAACAATAGTAGATCAGCCAAATAATATAAATATAAAATTACACTGCCCAACATGTCCTCAACATAATAACACATGCGATTGTGAAAATTTGGAGAAAACTACATCAATTAAATATCTCGGAGTGATCGTAGATCAGCACCTAAAATGGACGGAACATATTACATATGTAGCAAAAAGAATAAGAGTATTAATGCATAAATTTTATCAACTTAGAGAAATTCTTCCAAAAAAAAATCTAGTTATATTATATACATCATTAGCAGAGTCTATAATAAAATACTGCATAACTATTTGGGGTGGAGCATATAAAACAACACTAAACACATTACAAGTAGCACAAAACCTCCTAATAAAGATAATTTTTCAAAAAAACAAAATGTTCTCAACTACACTACTATATAAAGAAACAGAACTTTTTAATATACAAAATCACTACATCTACCAATGCTTACTACGAATATTTAATGAACAAGATAAAACACCCCAATATTATACAAAAACTAGATCCGCAACAAACTTGAATATAAGAACTGAAGCCTTTAAAAAATCAATTTCCCAAAATTCATATACTTTTACCATGGTCCAAAATTATATAATCTCTTACCCGCTAACCTAAAACAAATAAAAAAATTTAAAATCTATAAAATAGACGTTAAAAATTTCTTAATAAATCACCACGATAAACTAAATATAATATAAAAAAAAAATACTTCAGTAAATTAACAATTAAACAATATATAAACCGTTCTTGATTTAATTTTCCATCTCCTACATTACATTCCACATTACTTTCTTTCTTCATATTTAATTATTTTTCTTTAGTATTAATTAGAACTGTTTCAGCTATCTCTGTTATTATTTTAATATTTAAATCTAGTTCATGATATTAAAACAAGTATAACATTTTGTAAAGCACTAAACAGGACTGGCATCGCAAAACAAGCATTAAGTTGCTTAGGCTGGTGTCCGCCCTTGTTTGGTGTTAAACTAATACAATTGTTATTATTTTATTTGTACACCTATATCAATATCAATAAATTTATTATTATTATTATACCGTGATTCTTTGATACACTTTTTTTCAAGACATTTAGGATAATAAGGAAACAAGGGATGCTGAAACTGTTACTGCCGCTAAAGGGTATTTGCATTGGCTCAAACAAAACTTTGAGATTAATTTTTTACTCAACATTATTTTTACTGACATTTTATTCGACATTTTACAGCCAAAGTCAAATAAAATTGACTTTTGCATTAAACAAACTGTTGATTTTAAAAATAAAATAAATAAAAACGGGATCAGTGTAAACACTTTTGGAATAAGACTCCAAACATTGGCTTAGAACCTGAAAGTAAGCGAATTAGAATTGATAATGTCGGCGACAGAGAGGCCTTCTATCGTCAATTATACGCCGAAATTTTTGATAATATTTTACCACAAATGAACTCTCGATTTCAAAACTTTAACGAATTAAAATTTGTTGAATTGTGCAATTTTAGTATTAATAACTACGATTCATCAAAATTCTCATCGGAAGCTTTTTAATTCACTGAAATTAAATTATGGAAATTTTTTCGATATTCCAGCATTAAAGTTTTAGTTAAGTGTTGTTTAGGAAACAATTAAAATTAGTGATAAAAAAACTCCCATCAATGTGTTAAATTTTCTTATAACAACCGATTTAAATAAGTCCCTTTGTAAAGTCGTCAAGTTGTGTGAATTAGTACTAACCATCCCAGCCACAAGTGCGTCAGTTGAGCGAAGTTTTTCAGCTTTAAAGCGCAATAAAAGTTTGATACGAAATTCAACAAGTGAAGACAGACTCTCTAATTCAGCCCCAATATCCGTTGAAAAACAGCTTGTTAAACGGTTATCAGAAAATCCAAAATTTTACGACGATGTTATAGACAAATTTGCAGCTATTGAGGATAGGCGAATAGATCTTAAGAATAAATAAATGTCAATTGCTGTGTCAACTGTGCGAAAAAAAATTCAGTTAAATGTTTTTTTTTATGTTTAAATAAACCAAGGAAGCTTTTCAATGGTTTTTTTTTATAGCTTCTTGTAATAAACTAGATAGGTAATAAAATAATAGTAACACTTCAAAAATCTCAATCTCGAATATCCGTAGTACTGGGAAAAAAAAGCAAGATTTTGACAAAATGGTGAATGCGCTGCGAAAAATTTTCGCCGGCGGCGCTGTGCTTACTGGCCTGCTGCATTTTTATACAATCGCTTTCCCTTCCAAAAATGTCGCCGCACGCCACTGTATTATACCTGTAATACTTTCTAAAATATTTATTTTAACTCGATGATTCTTTTGTAGTAACCCTGTAGTTACATAATTAGTTTTAAAATTATAGGAACAAGATAATAAATGAACTTAAACTTTAACAATTACCTTTATTTAACGATTCAATTATTGCGACAAAATTACTTACTTCATAGCAAAAATCTACGAAGAGGTCTAGTTTTGTTTTTTTTATATTTGGAAATAGTTTTATATTATTTAACAACATGTAAATGATACGTTTTGAGTACCTAAAATGAAATTGAAGTAAGTTAATAACTTATGTATTGAAGTAATCAAAAGAGATTGATTTTTTTGCATTTCCTTCGAGACATCTTTGAAGTCGACATTGATTTTTCTTATTAAAATAGCCACAAATATAATTTGAGTCATGAACTTGATACATAAAGTTAGGCAAATCTTTTGGATTTCCATCAAAATATAAAAAATTCTTTAGAACTGACTGTTTGGACAAAATTTTGTATTTTAGAAATTATCACTTGTTAATGATTGCTTTCAATAATATTGGGGTAAATATTGTTCTTCTTATACATGCAACCTCATTATCTGACCTGTCATCCTATGGAGTTTTGCCCTCAAACTGTTCTCACACATTAAGTTTCATATTCCGCCTCCAATGCATTGTATTCCTTACTTGTCCTGATCAGATTTAGTACCTTAGCCTAAGTTCCAGGCCATGAGGGATATCAGGGCAACGAAAAGGCCAACGAATTAGCCCGAGAAGGCTCAGATAAGGCCATAACAGGCCCTGAACCCTTCTGTGGAGTTGCTAAGGCATTGTGCAAGGCATCCATTAAACAATGGATGCAAAAAGAGTCTCAGGAATGGTGGAATAACTATACAAGACTGAGACAGGCCAAACAGTTCATCAAGGAACCATCGGCCAAGTTTACGAAAGACCTACTGGATCAAAAAGTCAAATCGTTAGGATAACAGTAGGCCTTCTTACTGGACACTATCGCCTCAAAAGGCACATGAGTGTCATAAATCCAGCAGAAGAAGCAACTTTGTGCAGGTTCTGTGAAGAAGAAGAGGAAACATCATTCCACGTCCTGTGCCAATGTGAAGGCTTGGCTGGAATGAGGTTTCTAACATTGGGCGAAGAAAAGCCAATTGCATGCAACTACATGCGGGAGTCACTGTCAAAGCTACTAAGTCTAATAAAAAAGATCAGGCTAGACGACATACTCTAAAACAAACGGAGTCCCACAATAGATCTGAAAAGGTCGCGGTGGACAAGGACAAATAACGTCCAACTCCTAATCTAATCTAATCTAATCTAATCTAAATCTAATCTAGTACCAGCTACAAGACTATATATTTTGTTCAATTTTGTTTTTCTGATATTTAATTTCTGTAACCCTTTTTCTGGACGTTTTGCTATGTTTAGTGCGTATCAAATTGATTTTTCCAACTTAAACAGTTCCATTGTAATTATTGTTTGATTCTTGCTCTATCACTGCAACTGATGGAATTAAATCTTCTGAGCGGACATACAATGCCTCTTGTTTTTACTTAATAAGTCTATTACTGCATCTAATTGGCTATTTCCTTGATTTTATTATATTTTTTATTCTAATTTGACTTGAATTATCAACTATTACATGCATATTTTAATAATAATAGTAAAGGTGAATTTTAAAAGGAAATAAAACATGCAAATTTTCAGTCTAAAAACCAAAAGCGTATATTTATTTTTATGTAGTTATATAAAATCACAGAAACACATCCTATTAAAATTTTATGGGAGTGGTCATCCTCTATATCCTCTATATGTTCATGTATATTTTAAAAATGAGTTAATCTTGTTTAAATTTTTTAGTTAAATACATTTATTTTGAAAGTTTTGTTTCCTAAAACTTTGTTTTATGAATTATTACATATTTTTTTTGTATAGGAAATTATAACAAAAAAGATTTATACATAAGTTAAAATAATGATTATTTACCAAAAATAAATATTTATATACCCTGTATTTATAAAAATTAAATTATCTCTATACAAAAATATTTATTTCACAAATTTCACATGCTTCACCATTTTAATATAGAAAATCTGATATTTTTTAAAATAAATGGATTCTGCTTAAATTTATTTGTAATTACAGTGATTCCGTTCCTTAGTTATTGTTTGTCCACCGACTTCTTTCATAAAATCCCGAAAACTAGATTCAAGAGAGTAAAAGTCTGGGCCTCCGGGTGGCCAAAAATATGCCTCTTACAATTATTCAACATCCAGAATACTTTTAGAAACCACACGTTTCATTGGATTACAGAATTTATATTTTCTAATAAGTATGGAAACTTGTTCTGTAGGAATAGCAATCTAAATCTAAACAGTTTTAATTTTTGATAAAAAGTAATTGCTTTAATTCACATGCTGTGTCTCCGTAGGCTACCGGCATGTGGAAAACATTGTTATTATTAACTTTTGAAAAAAATATTTTTTTTCATAAAAAGTTGTTTATGGTGTAAAACATAAAATGTAACCTGATATCAATTTTGATCAGTCTTTCATATATCACCAACTTACGAAGACACACTGTATGTAGAGGATATATAGTTAAGGGTTTAACTATTTCACAAAAATTTGCTCAGAGCTTTAAAGCTTGAAGTACTTTTTTCAATCGTTGATATTAGTCAATAAATTATTGAATTGCTGTTTTATGTACATTATTTTTAATTGATTTAAATTTTTGTTTTTTTTTTTTTTCAGATTCCACGGCCAACCTGTAAACTGAGGACTATTTTGTTTTTATGTGTATTAGTGATTTTATTAGTTCATTTAACATCATCGGAAAGAGGTGAGTCTAAGATTGTATAATAAGAATATATACATTGATAATAATTTTAGACATTTTAAAGTGGATATATAACAAACAGTTTTCAAAAATTTTTCATTATTCTCATAATAATTCCATAATAATCTTTCTTCTTGTAGCTTTAATATATATTCATCACCTTTATTCTTTGTTTATTTAACGTTAATTGTTTCTATAATAAATACTTTAAATGACATCGCTACGGCGAAACCTGCTAGCTATTAGCTAGTAGGGCATACTGTCGCCGTAGAAAATTGCGTATCATCCAAATTGGAAAACTGAAATCTATACGCAATTCCAGACAGCTGACATTTGTAAACGAAAAAAGTGTATACTTTACAAATACAGGCAAAACAATTGTACCTGTAAAATTTCTTAAAATAGAGTTGCACTCACCAACATGCTAAATAGTGAAAACATAGGATTTAAAATCGGTAAAGATAAAATAAACCACCTACTCTATATGGACGACTTAAAATTATTTAAAACAGACGAAGAACAATTACAACGAGCACTTATCATTGCTAAAAAGTTTAGCGATGAAATAAAAATGGAATTTGGTCTTGATAAATGTGCGACAACTGTGTATAAACGAGGCAAACTGGTTAAATGCCAGAATATTTGCTTAGATCAGCAAACCTCGATAAGGAACCTAGAAACTCATGAATCGTACAAGTGTTTAGGCGTCGAAGAGAGAGATGGCATAGATAATATTAATATAAAAAATAACATGAAAAACGGAGTATTGCCGAAGAGTACGACAAATAATAAATACAGAATTAAACTCTAGGAACAAAATCATTGCTATTAACTCTTTGGCAGTTCCATTTATATCCTATAGTTTCGGCATTATTGATTGGCTAAGATCAGGTATAAAGAAGATAGATCGTAAAACAAGGAATCTGTTAACAATGGGAGGTATGCACCATCCGAAGACCGATGTAGATAGACTATATATTAAGAGACCCAACGGTGGACGTGGGTTAATTGAACTTGAGTCCGCCTACTATCTAGCTAATGTGGGGTTAAATAACTACATATGCCAAGAAAAGGATAAGTTCTGTCGATTTATCAAGGACCATGACGAGAACAAAGCCAAATACTCGCTTCAAAAATCCTCTGCCAGCATTAAAACAAAGTATCTTGGACAAGACAATGAAACACACAACAATAGAAAACTATGAACCAGCATTGAGAACGCAAAAATTAAGTGTTTAGAACAAAAGCCACTGCATGGACAATTTTACGAAAACTTGAGTAAACCAGCAGTTGATAAGGAAGGAATTATATCCTGGCTACGGAGCTCAGGCCTCAAAGGTGAGACCGACAGTCTAATTGTAGCTGCCCAAGATCAAGTTCTAGCAACAAGATATTAAGGAGGTCCTTTCGCCACTAATGTTAAATAAAAAATATTAGATTATGACTAAAATGAATTTTTTTCTAATAGTAGATGTCCTTATTTATCTAATAGTGAACTTTTAACTATACCTTACCGTGCAAATTTTTAGGAATTTTTTTTTTAAAAATGTGTGTGTTTGTACAGTGTCTTATGAGAAAATAAGACTTCAACAACAATTTTCGAATTATAATTAATTTTACTATTATTTATTGATTAGATGGAGTAGAAAAAAACTAAAAATAAGGTTTTTGAAATATTTAGGTTTTATTTTTTACAATAAAATATATAGGTTACCGTGGAATTTATTGAGAAATTATTATTAAAAAATCACAAACAATTTTCAACTAGGTTACTTGAAAATTTTTTGTTATTTTTTAATATTAATTTCTCAATAAGTTCAACGGTTTACTATATATATTTTATTGTATAAAACAAAATCTAAATATTTCATAAACCTTATTTTTAGTTTTTTTCTACTCCATCTAATCAATAAATAATAGTATAATTCGAGAATTGTTGTTGATGACTTACTTTCTCGTGAGGCACTGTACAAATACTCACATTTAAAAAAAAATTCTCAAAAATTTGCAAGGTAAGGTATAGTTAAAAGTTCAGTATTAGATAAATAAGGACTTCAACTATTAGAAAAAAAAATAATTTTAGTCATAATCTAATAACTTTTTTTTTAACATTTGAAGCGAGAGGTGTGGCGAAAGGACCTCCTTTTAAACCAAAACGTTAACAGCGAGTGTAGAATGTGTTTTACAGCAGAAGAACACATCAGCCATATACTAGCCGGATGTCCTACGCTGGCTCCTTCTGAATATACCCATAGACACAACAAAGTTGCTGCATATGTCCATTGGACTATGTGCAGAAACATAGGACTAGAGGTAACAAATAAGTATTATGAGCAGAAAAGGTTATTACTAAAAATGACATTGATATTATGTGGCTATAGTTACCGATAGGACAATCTTAGCTAACAGACCAGATATTGTACTGCACGACAAAGAAAACAAAATATGTCTTTTGATCGATATATCAGTTGCAGATGATTTAAACATTCTGAGCAAAGAATCAGAAAAAATAAGTAAATATAAAGATTTCCAGATTGAAGTGAGCAGGATGTGGAATACAAAAACAAAAGTAGTACCGGTTATAGTGTGAGCATTGGGTACAATCTGCAAATGCTTCCAGGCCAACCATCTTGAAACGAAGTGCAGAAAATTGCACTTATGGGAACTGCACATATATTACGCAAGGTGCTAGGTTGAAAACCTTTGATCTCTTGTTGGGATCTGGTTTCACCAGAAATACCGCCTAAACTAAAGTGGCGAGAAGAACAAGAATATTAATAAAAAAAGTACAAGTACTGGGCAAGATTTAGCCTATGGCTATTCTTTCACCTAACCCAAAAAATATATGTGTAAAGTAATATAAATTAATTAAAATAAATTACCTATAAAGTAATTTTATATAAATGATTTTAAGATTAAAGCAGAACAAACATTTTATTAAATAGTTTACATAAATCATAGATAATTTCAAGATTAAGAAACTGTTGTTTTAGAGCATTTTTAAAACTTTCAACTGAATGTTATTGCTTGTGAATATTATTTAAATTATTATACAAGAGTTATAAAAAATGCTTTTTGTAAAAAATGTAGTGGAGTAGCGAGGCATATTCAAAACAAAATTGTTTCGGATCTTAACATTATGCATTGCTCTTCTAAAAATTAATTTATTGCAAAGATAAGCTGGTGTAGAGGTTAGTAGTATTTTGAAAAGCATCAAAAGGAATAAATATTTAAAGAAATTATTTACATTTAACCATCCTGTTTGAATTAAAGCATTAGAGATATGATCACACGAATTTACAGTGTTTTGCATAATTTGTAACCGATGACGATTTATTGCAATTGAACACGGGTAGTAAATAATGATTCCGTAAGTAAGTTTAGATATGACTAAGCTTTGACAAAGCTTCGCTTTTAACGATTTATCTCGAAGAATGAATCTGTTAGAGTAAAGTAATCTTAATGCACCATAGCATTTTTGTAGTACTGAATTGACATGTTTATCAAATCTTAGGAATTCATCAAAGTAAAGGCCTAGGTTTTTTGCTTCAATAACATACGGAATAATTTCCCCAGATATTCTCAAAACTGCCTTAGATATTATTTGAAATTTTAATTTTGTATGACAAAAAATAATTAATTTAGACTTGGATGCGTTAATATGCATATTGTGAGCTAATAAATACATATTTATTTCATTTAAGTCATGATTTGTAATATTCATGGTACTATCACATTCATGAAAATTAAAATCTTGAAAAATCTGAGTGTGATCAGAAAAAACTGTATAGCGCAATTATTAACCTGTTTGTATAAGTCAGATGTGCATATTAGAAACAATAGTGGGCTCAAAACAGAGCCTTGAGGTACACCAGATTCAATATGGATCGAAGAAGACATTTGACCATCCACTAGTACTAAGTGCGATAACGCAAATAAGTTATTATAAAATTAAGAGACGTATTATCAAATCCACAGTAGGAGCACTTAGTCACCAGAAATGTGTGATTTAGCGTGTCTAATGCCTTACTAAAGTCCAAAAGAATCAGGATACCAGCTTTTCCATTATTAATGCTCCTGATAATGGTATCAGATAAATTAGCAAGGGCAGTTGAAGTGCTAAAACCTTTTTGGAAACCTGACTGATGCATTGAAATTATGCCGTTTTGACAAAGGTATCATATATTTAAAAATAAGCGGCTCTTTCCAAGATTATAGAAATAGTGATAAGAAGGCGTACAACATTTTATGGGAGAGGAATAATCATTGCTTGCCTCCTTGCTTTTGGAAAATATCCTTGTTCCAAACACAAATTAACAATATGCAGTACGTATACATCAATAACATTTAAACACATTTTTAACATTTGTAAGTTTATATAATCGCTTCCTCCAGCATTGGATTTGATATTTGAAGTATTTTGTAAACAGTATCAATATTGACTGGTTTCAACTGAAATTCGATAGTTTTATTATACAAGGTGGCGTAAAATCAAGTACCCTATGGAATGTTGTCATGGTTTCGTTTGTAGTTGATATCTGTTCAAGTTTTTTTGTCAGTTGCAAAGTAGATCTTGGGAAATTCATTATGAATCGATATACGTCTCGAGAACGTGCTGAAATCGTAATATTTTTTGATCAAAATAATTCGTCGAGTATCAGAATTTTTCCTGGACGCCTTATCTCGAAAAACGCCGATATTGCATATCCGCCAAGGTCTCCCGATTTAACGGTTCCAGACTTTCGGTTATGGGGTTATCTCAAAGATAGGGTATTTGTAAATAATCCTCGAACACTAAAAGCATTAAAAGACAACATCCGGGAAGAAATTGATAGAATACTACCTGAAATATTGGAGAAAGTTATGAAAAATGGTTATGGATATTGTTTTTAGTGTGTAGCAAAATAAATTTTTAGAGTTTAAATAAATATTTTTCATTTATAATATGACTGTTTTTTAATTAATCTTACTTTTATATAAAAAACAAATAGGTGACTTTATTT